CTATATAGAAGATTACATGGATCAAGAATCACCTGATGAAGGCTGGAGAACACAACTACCAAAATCCCAGAAATTATCCTTGTTAAATGTCTTTTATTCCTCTATTCCTTTTCTACAGCTTAGCAAACTTTTGCAGGTTATTTAAAGCCAGAAAATATTTTTAGATATTTTTTTAACAGAGGGAAATAATGATTTAATGTTACAATTTTTACTAATTAACCCATAGCTGGGGAAGAAGAGGTGGGCACATATGTGAATATAATGAAACCAACTGGAATTGGAAGTCGGCTCTCTGATTAACAATTCCAAGTCATTATCCATTACATGAACCACACATCCAAGCTTAAAGCACCTGCTATTCCAAATTAGTCAACCCTTAAGGTACTGATCAGCCTTGACATTACTTCAGTGATCATATGGGAACCGGTAGTTCCAATGTGATATGACTGTAAGCATTAAATTTCTGTCCCTGCTTTATTTTGATATACCCAATATGTAGCTCGCACCTTGGGCTGTCTCTTTTCTTGATAAGCATGCTTTTGTCTTCATTAACAATTAATGATTAGTACTTTCTTTATACTTTCTTCTATTACCTTGTTGTTATTTTAAATTTTCTTACTGAATACCATGGACATATTGTATATTGTTAAGATTATTTCTAGCAATAATTCTAATAGGTTTTCTAGTTCATTTAAGATTGTCTCGCTGTAGAAGTTAAGTATATTTAGTGAAAATATTGCATCCTTGGTGCACTCGAATTCCAAACATTAATGCGTCTTGGGTATGACGATGAACTACACCTGCATCCTGGGTAAGGCGATAAACTACATCTGGCAGCAAGGCCTCTGATCAGGAGGTTTTGAGGAGCGTGGAACCACCTCTTAATTGCTAGGTGTTCACAAGTGCACCCTGACCCGGGGTGGTAGCACCTGTTAGGGTCCCAGCTATGGACAAATAGTTACCCTCCCCCCAAAAGGCATTAAAACACTATGAACGTATAAAAACTGGCTTTAATACCAACAGTACTTTTTGCAAGAAATTCCTTCCAGCCATACATTTTTGAAAAAGAAAATATTACCAACAATACATATTTTAAAAATTATTACTAGCATTACATTTTTGGAAAAATATTACTGACAATACATTTTTGAAAAAAATAAATATTACCAGCAATAAAAATCTTGTTGGCATTAAATAACCCATTGAGGTGTTGATATGCCATAAAATAAATCAAACCAAACATTAATAAAATAAAAATAAAGAAAATATGGTTATGCCTGTTAAATAAATCCTTTGTATTTACAAACATATGTATATGAATTCAAGAGAGTTGAAAAGGAGTAAAAATACTCTTTAGTTGATTTAAAGTGTTTAGGTAATTGGTTCAAAGAAAAAAAAAAACTCTATAGTTTAGAAAAGAATTTTAAATAGTTGGTCCACAGAAAAAAAAGCTCTTGTTGAAAGAAGACTTTTATCATTATTGAAGATTCACTGATTGTCTGTGTTGTTATCAAAGAAGTTTCGTTTGAAGTCACCAACTGATCATGTCTGCTGTTGTTAGATGATTCATTTGAAGTCACCGACACAGGTTTCTTTCAGCATGGGCTGGTTTTGGGGAACAAAAAAACTATGTAGCTACGCGTTGTCTTCTTTTCAGCTTGGAGGCAGCCACATTTCTCTCTCTCTCCTCAAAGTTGAAATCTATGGGCTTTCATAAATTTTTCTCGGTATTAGGCTTGAGAAAAATAGGATTTAGTTTTCTTTGATTGGTCAAATGTTTTAGACAGTGGTGTTAATTTCTAAACAATTAGGCCATTAGGAATTATTACACATTGTAAATAGGGTCTGTGGCCATTAGGAATATATTACCCTTTAGAAATAGGTTCTATCACTGTAACAAATTATTACAGACTGGAAATAGGGACTATGGCATTAGGAATTATGACACATTGCAAATAGGCACTGTGGCCATTAGGAATATATCACACATTGGAAATAGGGTCTATTGCCATAACATATTATTACAGACTGGAAATAGGGATTATGGCATTAGGAATTATTACACATTGGAAATAGGGAATGCAACCATTAGGTATTATTGCAGATTGGAAATAGGGACCATGGCTGTTAGGAATTATTGCAGATTGGAAGTAGGGATGGCTGCCATTAGGAATTATTACAGACTGGAAATAGTGAATAAGTCCTTTGTGAGACTCAAGTTCTCTTTTTGTCATACAATATCTGTCTTATTATGATAGATGTGAAAGAGATGAATGGTTGGCCAATCAAATCTGGAAATATAAACTTATTCCTCCCCCAATCATTTGACACAACCATTTTATCAAAATTAACCACATAACAATTTGTTATCCATAATTATTCTGATGAGCTTTCCTTTTTGGTACCTTGACTTTGGAAATTTAAGTACTAGATTGGCAGCCATATCTCATAATTTCGCTGTGGCAGTTATTAGATGTAACTACAAGCTCTATACAAACAGTTTCTTCCATACTTCTTGCTTTGAGGTTCTTGCTTTTCTGTCAACTACAGTCTTCAAAAATTTAAATGCAATGTCAACCATCATCTTCTGTTTCTTTAATTGCCATTCTTTTATTGTCCTCTCACTTTGTTACACTGTCAGTAACCTCTTGTTTCTTAGTGGCTTTTAATGCCTTGCTTGTGAATGAAATGATGAAAAAAAAAAGAAACCTCCTTACTGGGTGCTGCCATATTTGTTGTTATTGCCTTGTTTACATGTAGTAGTAGTAGTAGTAGTAATATTGGCCTGAATATTTTTTTATGAATCATTGTCAACCATTATTAAATTTTGACTACTATTTCTTCCATTTTAACTTCACCTGTTTTTCAGAGACTGTCTATATTTCTGAGATGAGGTACTATGTACAATATTTACATTAGTTGGACTATTGTCCTCATCTTTGTCACCATATTTGTCACAACGTTTCGGCCGTTGTATGCTCCGGCCTTCTTCAGGTGGTTGGAATTTCGAACTGAACCCTTTATTTCAATCACTGGGGTAGACTGTTCTAGTTCCACGTGCTATGTTTGATGGATGTCAGTTATCAGTTATCTCCTGCTAATTTTCCCTCTGAAAGTTTTCCACTGCCTTAACCAGGTATTGAACTCACCTTCTTTGGGTCTGTCACTGGATCTAACCAACGCCTTTATCCACTGTGCCATGTGTCCTTGAGGACACATGGCACAGTGGATAAAGGTGTTGGTTTTTCACTGCAACTCTTTAGACCTTCATTCTATTGCCACTAAGTTGTCAACAGGATTTGCATTTCTTTTACTTCAAAAATACTGTCTTATTGCTTTTTATGCTCCTCAACAGCTTAACAGTTCACAAAAAAAATTGAACTATATAAATTTAATTATTTTTATTTCATTGCTTGGTGGCATCATATTTGATGTTGTCTTGTTTAAAAATGTGGTTTATATTAGTAGTAATATTAATTTGAATTTTTATGCTACATTTAGCATTGTCAAATATTATTAATTTTATCTAGTATTTCTTTCTTATGTTGAAATTAATACATATTAAAAGTTAATAATGGTTCTAATAAAATCCTTTAATAAATTTGAAGATAACCTTTTTGATAACCTCACTTGATATTTTCTGAGCTGAGATGGACATATAGAAAATAGAAATAATAAAGACTTCAGAAATTAAAAAAAGAAACGTCTTAACCAATGTTTGACTGTTAAAAACATGCTGAATAGTCACAAAATATGAAGTTCTCCCAAGCAGTTTTTTATCTGAGATTCAAACTAAAGAAAAATTAAATTAAAAGCAAATCAAAATTTGCAAAGAATTCCATGTATTTTAATGACTGCAAGCTGAGACTAAATCATTTGTTCCCACAACAAATGGTCCATATTCTGAAAATGAGGGCAAATTTTATTCTTACTTTCTTGAAATAAAAAGAAAAAAGAAAAAAGAAGTTATATTTTAATGCAAGATAATTCTACCATAAATTTATAAAAGTGATGTAATGTTCAGTCAGATGTTAATTAAATTGTGGTAATCTTCAAGATTAAAAAAATAAAGTTTTGTAACAGTGATAAATTCAACTCCTGATCATGAGTCCCATACCTCATTAGGGTTATAAGAGCACATCATGTACTGCAGTTGCAGTAGAAGTGGTGTCTTGGGTAAGATAACCTGATGGAGCCCAACCTCTAGGCTAGCTGCCAACCAAGGTCTATAGGACCCAGTCTGTCCTGCTATTTACTCATAGTTGGGGAAAATAAATAGATGCATACCTTTTCCATGGGTATTAGCATGTAAGTAAATGTAATGAACTCAAATGGAATTTGCAATTGGCTCTCCAATTCCTCAATCCAAGCTGCTAAGCACCATTCTACCGTGCCTTCTATTAATATGCAATTGCACCACTAATTATTATATGTGCATTATGAATAATTACAAAAATCTGTATGGATTAAATTTTAATAAAACAAATAAATTTATACTCTTGAATTACAACAGAAGAAAAATTAAAACATATTTTATAAATTAACCAACATCAAATAAAATGAAATTATTTTTATTAAAAATTATTAATGAAACACGATATTCCAAGTAAAAAGAAACGAACTTAAAGTAGAATTTAGTCAGTTTATAAATAAAAAAAAAAATGAAATGTACAAATTTTAAATTTTATATATTTAGACAGCAAAACAGACATATTTTGTTTATTTGATTTTGATTGATTGATTGATTTGTTTTCTATGGCTTATCAACCCTTTTCATGCTATTTAAAGCCAGAAAATACTTTTAGATTGTAAGAATTTTTTTTTTTAGATGATAATAGCTTAGTGATACAAGTATTAGCTGGGGGAGAAGAGGCGTGGTTCATACTTTTCCTGATGGTATTTGCAGGTAAGTGAATATAATGAATCCAATGGGAATTGGAACTTGGCTCTTTGATTAAAAATTTCAAGCTACTATCCATTACACCAACTGTGCATCCATGCTTACAACACCTTGTATTCCGAAGCGGTCAGCCATCTAGGTACTGACCAGGCTTGATGTTGCTTAACTTTGGTGATCATATGGGAACCAATGTTTCAACATGTCTATAAGCTGCAATTAATTTTACTGCTCACCTTTTCCAAATTATGAATGATCCTACTCAGATGAGGAGGAAATTCTATCAGAAATTGTTTGAAGTTCACTTTGGAAGAAAAGTGCAAGAAATATAGTCCAAGCTTTCTTGTTTCTTAAGTCATCATCAAGGTAGGTAGAGACAATTGGTGAGTTTTGTAGAACTGGTGAGTATTTTGATGTAAGCAATGTGTGATGTGTGTTTTTAAATTTGGAGACCAGCTTTTGGGAAAAAATGTTAAAATTTGTTAAACCCAAGTTGATTAGCACTCTACCCAAATATTCCATCTATTTTCATATATCATGGATTGGTTATCAGTACAATATTTTCTCAGCACATTTCTGCACATGTATGTGTGTGAAAAACTTCTCTCTCTACAAATTCACATATCTTTGTTGCCTGACCAATGTGGAAACTGATCTGAAAGGATGTTGTACCTCCCCATTACATCAATTCAGCAATTTATCTGTCTGTTATTTTTATTGCTTTAGTTATGTTTGGCACCCCTGCAAAAATATTCCCATAAATTTAAAACTTATATTACATGATTATGTTTCAAAGTTTCTACTTTCTAACATCTATAAAAATTAAGATGGTTAAATTTCAATGTCTTTCAACTAACATACTAAGAAATTAAAATTATTTACATGCATTATGTTTAAAAGAAAGATATATAAAAGATACATGTCAAGTGGAGTGGGCAGAAGAGAAGAAATTCATTTTCCTGCTTTTCAAGACATTCAATACTGCATATCCATAAAAATCAATTCACAGGAGTTTTAGTTATTTACCAAAAGACTGAAAACTTTTATCTATTTACTGAAATTTTATTTTTTAAAATGGCGTAGATGATATGCATGCAACAAATCATAAAAAAACAAAAAATACAATATATAGAAAGAAAGGACACTTACACTTAGAATCAGAAAGATAAAATTGAAATTTCTGGAATACATAATGAGGAAAGAGGGTTTGGAGAACTTGACACTCATGGGACAGTGAAAAGGTAAAAGGGATAGAGGAGAACAGTGGATAACCTACAAAACAAGTTTGTGTAAATCAATGCCAGAAAAATAACAGATGAACATCACTAAGAGTTACAAAGAATAGGAAGTTGTGGAGAACCATGATCTGATCGCCCACATCCTGAAGAGACATGGCACATAGAAGATGAAATAAAACTGCTGAAAAACATGAAAACAGTGAAGTGTAAAAATTTATTTTCTTTTTTTACAATTGTAAGGAAATACTTAAAATGTAAAGAATTTGTAAATGAGAAAAATTCCAGAAAAATTAATTGTGACATACCACAAATCCAGAAAATGACAGAAATATGAAAAATGTACAAATTGAGAAATTCCTAAAAATGTTACAAAGCAAATCTTATGAATAATAAAACAAAAGTGAATACATAATAAAAATTGGTTGGTCAATTTTTGGTTTGCTTATTTAATGGCATATCAACATCTTATGGGTCATTTAATGTTGGTGTGCTGGGTATGATGATAAACTATGTCCAACAGCAAGGCCTCTGATCAGAGAGCTTTGAGGAACGTGGAACCTCCTCTTAATTGATGGTCCACCCTTACCCGGGGTAGTAGCAAATGTTAGGGTCCTAGCTATGGGCAAATAGTTAACCCAGAAACTGAGGTAAAAGGCTTTATAAAAGTGTAAAAAATAGGTTTTAATACCAGAAATACTTTGTAAAAAAATATTACCAGAAATAAAATTTTGAAGAAAAAAAAACTATTACCAGCAATACGTTTTGAAAAAAAATAATATTACCAGCAATACGTTTTTGAAAAAAAAAAACAATACGTTTTGAAAAATATACATTTTACATTTTTTTGAAAAAAAAATATTACCAGAAATAGATTTTTGACAAAACAAAAATATTACCAGAAAAAAAAAGTTGTCAGCATTGAGCATATCATTGAACTTGATATGCCGTAAAAAAAAACCAACCAAACCATTTAATGTTGAAATTTAATTTTCTTTAGTTTCAAAATAACAGAAATATGTCATTCTGCTTTCACAACTGAATACATGGTAGATGATACTAAGCTTTTTTGCATATAGATGTTTGTGTAGATATAATTACTACAGGTGGTGATGTGCGTTTTATGTTGTGGTTTTGTTGATGTTATATTTTGGAATAAAGTTTGATTTAAGAAACTGTAGGATATTATATGGATTAATGTCATGAAAGAGTTCTTTTATGTTGGTTGTTTGATTGATTTTGTTTAGCAGCATATCAACCTCTATGAATCATTTAATGCTAAAATCTAAACATTTTGAACACAATTGTATACCTTCAACTGCAGAAAATGTATTATTGATCATTTTGCTTTTATATTTAAAAAATATGCTAGTATTTTTACTATAAAAATACTTTTGTATTGTTTGGGAGGGAGGGTTACTATTTACCCATAGCTGGGACCTGAATAGATGCTACCATCCCTGATCAGGGTAGAATTGGGAACAACAGCAATTAAGTGGTGGTTCCATGCTCCTCAAAACCTCTAGTCACCTGTCAGGGGACTTTCTGCTGGATGTAGTTTATCGTCATACTCACAAAACAAAAACAAAGCATCTTAAACAGTTTGTCAAAAAATGCAAGTATGAAAATGAGAATTCAATAGGGCATGCAAAAGAAGAAACATTTTAAAAAAATGTCTGCAAAGGTTACAAAATGCTGAATTTCCAAGTAATATTTATCCTTAGACTAGAGCCACAAATGCAATAAATATCACTCTCTTAGATATTGTGGCTGCTTACATATTACCATATTTTCTAGGCTTATAGCAATATCATATTCGAACACCAGTTACTGTACAATAAATAAAGTTAAGCAACATTAAGCCTGGTCAGTACCTATATGGGTGACTGCTTGCAAATAACAGGTGCTGTCAGCTTGGATGTGCAGGTGATATAATGGATAATAACTTGGAATATTACGGAGAGTTCAGTTCCAATTCCAGCCAGGTTTGTTATATTCCCTTATGCACAAGTAACTTTGGAAAAGGTATGAAATAACCTCTTTTCCTCTAATCTATGGAGGCATATATAACTAAATCATTATCTCCAAAAGAATTCTTACAATCTAAAAATATTTTTCTGCCTTTAAATAATAGCCTTCCAAAGGTTGATAAGCCTTACAAAATGCATAATTCAATCAATCAATATATTTTCCAGAATATAGGATGCATCCTTATTTTGAAGACACAGTTTTGGAAAACTTAAGCTAGTCATATTTGGAAGATTATTATTGCAGCATAATTTAATCTCATCATCCTCATCAGGTTGAGCAAGCTCATCATTCCGTGACCTGTTGCTTTCATTCATTCCTGTCATTCATTGCTTTTGGAAGCTCCTACAATCTGCATCCCGTGTCTTCAATCAGATGGTCAATGTACATCTTCTTTGGTCGACCTTGTGTTCTTTTTCCATTGGATGATATCCAGAGTAGAACGTCTCCAGTTAGTTCTTTGCTACACCAACAGTGACCAGCAAATCTTAGTCTTTGTTGATGTATTAATTTGCTGTTGGGAAGTATGCTGCCATAGAGCATATAATTTTTACTAATTAACCCATAGCTAGGGGAGAAGAAGTAGATTCATACTTTTCCCAAGGTTATTTGTGCATAAGTGAATATGAGGAAACCAACTGGAAATAGAACTTGGCTTTCCAGTTAACAATTCTGAGCCATTATCCATTACACAGCCAAGCTCACAGCACCTGATATTTCGAAGTGGTCACCCATCTAGGTACTGACTAGGTTCGACATTGCTTAACTTCAATGATCATACAGGAACGTGATGTGGCTGTAAGCCCTTTTCTATAAATATTTTCATGATAATAGTTTTGATACGCTTTCCTCTTTGGTACTTTTACAAATTTAAGCACAGTACTAGATTGGCAGATAGGTCTCATCATTTTAGGACTACAATTGCTATATATAACCGTAAATTCTATGTTACATTTTCTTCCCTCACATTCTTGCTTGTGAAACTCTCTTCTGGCTTTTTGCATTCCAGTCAACTTTGATCTTCAAAAATTTAAATGCAATGTCAATCATTATCTTGTTTTAATTCCTGTTCTTTTATTGTTCCCTCTGCTTAATAATGTTTTTATTTTTCTCATTCTTTTCTACTCGGTAGCTTCTTGCATTTTCACGGCTTTTGTTGCCTTGAAAGGGCATCTTATACACCAAAAAATAGATTAAGTGCATTTTAACTATGGATTGCTATAAGTCACAAATCTCACCAACTCATAACTAATGAAAACCTGATGAATGATAATCAATAGAATTGTAGACAGAATCAATGAATAATGTGGAAGTCTGTCTATAGGATCTCTCCCACTTTATTTCAAGATGTTTCTCCATAACTTCCTGATTTTTCTTGCTCTTAGCAATATATTCTCATTTATTCTACCTATTTGTTTTTTTTTTTTTTTTTGGTTCTTCTCCTGCATTCATTTACTCAGGATTGACAAGTAGGTTACTTGGCATGTTTCCTGTGAGTGTTAAATTCTCTAAACCTTCCTTCCTCATTATGGCAGAATGTAAGAAATAATAATTAATTTTCCTTTTCTTTTACTTTTAATTATGCACGAATGATATGCAAATGGTGTGATTGTTATCAGTATGGAAAGTGAGATCGTAAAGTTGAAATTCTCATTGATTCTGTTGTTTACATTTTGCTGATGCCCCTGGAAAAGGTAGGGGACCACCATCTTTGATCTATGGCTTAAATAGCAGGGCAGGCTGGACTCTCTTTCCTTCAGGTGGCAGCTAGTTTTCTTTCTCTTTTATGGACTTCAGGACATGGCTCTCCTCACATTTCTGTCTTGTGTGGCTCTTCCTTTGCTAATGCACTGCCCTTATTCTGCCATCCATTCACACAAAACCAGAGTGAAAAGGAATGGGCTCCATCAAGCTGTGTGGCTCTAGATACACCGCCATGAAAACAAGA